AGTTATTCGTTTACTTGAAAGAAAGTAAGAGATTAGCATCGCTCTTTTTGTAAAGTTCACAAAAGAACGCACTCTGCGCAATAGATTTAGAAACTGGCGTGCTATAGATACACGTTTTTCAACATGTATATAACTTCACTACTTCGTATTTGCAGGTGAACCATGCTTTGTGACACACGCAGACATTGTCATTTTGTAGTGTTGGAGTGACCGAACTTTCGACAAGCCTTATTACCATTTGCGTAGCTGTTTTGTCTCGTACGTGGTCTAAAAAAAATACGCGCAATAACGTGTGGGCCTCTTATAATCAGTGACTGGCTTGAAACCACGAGGTCATTAAGATAATCACATGTATTCATGCCAGATGGCAATGTACGCTTGTGCTACGTAAAAGTAGTGCGCCTTTCGTCCCGTACTAGGAACAAGGAATTGTTAAATATTTGCTCGACTGGAAATTCTTGCCCTCGAGTGAAGCCGTGCCAACTGAAAGATGGCGGCTGAGGCAGCCATGTTACTAGGGGCATGATGAGCTGTTAGCGTTCGGCGATTGAGGAGGAGCGTTTTCCTAGCAAGCCCAACCAGTTTAACGTGGCAAACTTGTAAAGTGAGATAGTGCTCAAACAGCGTCCTTGTGTTACTAGTTTTTCTTCGTAGGCCTCAAATTCATGGCAAATTTTGATGGACATTGTCATCGATAATCGTTTCTATTGGTTATTTCATCGGAAACGACATTCTTTTAATTTCAAATAAGCGTAACCTTTGGACTAACAGGCCAAAACTATTTTATCTATGAGGGGGCACCACCGAAACAGGCCATGTTTCTGGATTTTTGGAGAGCAAAAGCTGGCTTCACTATTGCTGGCAAGGCATTGCGTGAGCTCCCACCTTAGCTTTTTTTAACCTCCTTGATCGGGAGGAGTGCTTACAGGACGCGTGTGTGTGAAAAGCAGGAGGTATTGTCACTTTATTTTCAAGCAAACGAAGTTATTTCAATTGTATTTCAAAGAAAGAAAAGTGGCTGTGCGGTACAACATCTGCATGCCACGCAAACGACGTGGGTTCGTCCGTCACTCGGGCCCGGAACTTTTTGTTAGTCATTCTTTTTATTGTTTAGTTGAGGTCAGAATGATTATTTTTCTCTCGTAACTAATGACTCCCACAACTGCAACAATGCCGACACCAGAATTAAGCTAAACGAGCTCTTTTACGCAATCACGTTTATATATGTTAGGAGTTTTATTTACCGAGAAATGGAGGTGCTGAACAGAAGTATGGAAGGAATTCCATCAGAGCCATTTGTTCAAGTGAAGTAGCATTTTTAAGAAATTTCCCTGTACTGTAATTATCAGTGTTTCATGCAGAAAATTTTTCAGACCTACTGCCAACACATAATGAAGCCAGTCGGCAATGTGTGTATTTGTTGTACAGTTATGGCATTCGGATGCCTTCATTAAAATTTTGGACATTATACTGCAGTGTGCTGAACAGTTAAAACCATCGCTCTGCCTTTTAAAGTTTTAACCGACCGACCAACCGACCGACCGACCGACCGACCGATAGTGTAGAGAAAAGGACGAGCCATCGTCTCCATCGCGAAGCCTACCCGTCGACCTCTTCCATATTTCGAATGAACTGCTCCAATTTTAATGATGATATCACCACTCCTCGTCTTCTACATAATTTTTAAAATCCTCCGCACCACAACAGAGGCGAATGACGACGGCGAACACTAAAATCGCACATGGGTTCAGAGTACACAATGTTCATAAATACGAGTTCCATGTCGGTCCTTCTATAGAATAACCAGTATTTTTTGCGCTTAGCCCAGCGATGTTTACGACGCTTGGTCGACACTCTTGCCAGTAGACGCGTCACTTTGGGTAAACTACTTTTTACGATCGGTTTCCTTGGGAAGAAAGTTCCATTATGCAGACTCTCCCGCAAGTTTCTGGTGTAGCTGTTCCTCGGAATTTTTCTTGATTTCTTTCTCTTGGCTGCCCTTGCTTTGGGAGCATCAGCCCTTTCACTCTGCGCTGGTCTTGGCTGCCTTATTCGAGAAGCTGACGTTGTCTCGACATTTCTCTTTTCACAAATATATGCCGTGCCAACCACATTCTCTCTAATCTTGACTTCTGTGGCTTACCCGAAGTGCCGTAGTTTTGATAAGTACTGGCAGTAGGCTACTGTTTTCCCGTTGACTTTGAATTTCTCTTCTCTTGGCGAAATGGCCTTGATTTCCTTTCATCAGGTGTTTGGTTGTACAGACGTGAGGGCTGGAATACAACAAAATCTGGCGTCTTCGGCGTGCAATGAACCTCGAGCTCTGGTGTGCATCTTTTAAATTTCCAGATGCCTTCTGCGTTTTCTTCGTACAAGTCTCTTTCAGGATGTGCACTTGAGTTGTTGTAACTGTTGCATCATTTGCTTCGTTTACAGTGCACGCTGATGGAAGTTCTAAAGGCGTGGGCCAGTTTTTTGCAAGAATCAATTGTTCTTTACAAGCTTGGATGCTCGTTACGGTGGTGAAATCAGCGACTTTTCGACTTCCAGCACGTTCAGCAATTCGTCGTCAATCTGAGTCGTACGGCTTCCGTAGAACAAGATTGATGCTGAAGAAGCAAAGGCAAGATGGCGGCGCCACAGATGAAGAGTGCGTGATAGCTTGTACATCTGTCCAAATCATTTGCCTCATGGCCTCCAAGCGAGCTTGTCGAGCATTTTATACGTATGCGATCTGATATTTCACTCTGACCTTGGCTAGAATGTTCTGGGGTTCATAAACCTCTGCTTCATCCAACTTTACTTCCAAATGATCGATGTCAACTGTGCTTTCAATCTCCTTATCAATTCCTCTGAAAAGCTCGTACAGTTAAGTCAAAATTTGGTGAATGTTGGGCGATTCAAATATTAATGGGTGGTTCATATGGTATAGGTTTTCGATATCTGCGATGACCTGCGTGACGGCTTTGCATGTTTGACTCTGCCTTTCGTAGAGGGTCTCCATGATCTAGTCCAGTGTCGGAAACGGGAGAGATCATTGGCCGGCCATGTCACGAGGCGAATTCGGAGTCAACACGGCATCCATAGCAGCAGGTTTGCACAACGAATATCTGTCACTTGTCGGGCTGTTATCCGTCTTGATGTTGTGCGTACCGGGCCATTGTCGTGAAGGGCAAGTCAAGACTGATCAGAACAAGACGTGAGGGCTACCGTCTCGCCAGCCTCCAGACGATGCCTGCACTTACGGGGCTGCACTGTCAAAATGTACGTCGTTGATCTATGGACTGCCTTGACTTGCGAATATCGAGCCGTCGTCGTCGTGACGGATGAGTCAGGAGGGAGCCGACGTAGACGTGAGGGCTCCCGTCTTGCAAACCTCCAGACGGTGCCTGCACTACCGTCAGTCCATGTGTGCTCCTAGTAGTCTTGGTTGCAACCGGAGTCGTGCTCCCAGGTCACAGCGGCAGTTAGGCCTCGTGCATCTGCTTTAGCGACGGAGGCTTCACAAAAGTCCTCCAGACTGCGACTGCAGTCGAGATTCTTGGGGTCCGCTCCATCTCACCTCCGAAGGTCCTTCCTCCCGGGTTTCACCGCACCAAAACGTAGAGCAAAGGACAAGCCGCCATCTCCATGGCGAAGCCCACCCGTCGGTCTCTTTATTCCGAATGCACTGCTCTGATCTTAATGATGATATCACCACTTCTCGTCTTGTACATAGTTTTCAATAGATAGATGGTTAAATAGATAGATAGATAGATAGATAGATAGATAGATAGATAGATAGATAGATAGATAGATAGATAGATAGATAGATAGATAGATAGATAGATAGATAGATAGATAGATAGATAGATAGATAGATAGATAGATAGATAGATAGATAGATAGATAGATAGATAGATAGATAGATAGATAGATAGATAGATAGATAGATAGATAGATAGATAGATAAGATAGATAGATAGATAGATAGATAGATAGATAGATAGATAGATAGATAGATAGATAGATAGATAGATAGATAGATAGATAGATAGATAGATAGATAGATAGATAGATAGATAGATAGATAGATAGATAGATAGATAGATAGACAACCACGAAGAGCATATCATTCCACAAAGGAAGGGGATTTTATGGACTTCAATGATTACAGGCTGATCAGCTTACTCTAATTTGTCTACAAGCTATTTACCAAACTATTCTCTAAAAATTAAGGAACCTTTAGAGTTCAATCAACGAAAGGACTAAGCAGGATTTCGTACAGGCTAGTCAACAACAGACCGTATATATGTGGTCAATCAAGTTATAGAGAAATGTGCACAATGCAAATAACCCCTATACGTAGCCTTCATAGGTTACAAGAAGGCATCTTATTCGGTAAAGATATCAGCAATTATGCATGCACTGCGTTGTCAGGGCATCGACTGAGCCTATATAGACACTAGAATAAATCTACTGTGGCTGCACAACATTTATAGTGCTTTATGAAGCATGCGACAAAATCTCAATAGACAAAAGTGTCAGGCAGGTTGTCAGGCAGGGGGACATGATCCCTCGAATGCTACTCTCCGAAGTGCCACCATTCTACGATTGGCTGCTGCGCGCGCTTTGTCTGAGTGCGCGGAGACCGGGCGCCTCTCTGTCTCCTGGATAGTTGCCGTACGTGGCAGATCGTTGGTGCAGCTTACACGAAGCAAAGCGGCCGGCGCGTTGAAGACGCTTGCGCTCGGCTTTGTTGACTCTCGTCTCGGCGGTGTTGCCCGTGCGCCGTCTGCATTCGCCAATGCGATCGGACACATGCATGGACAGATGAATGGATGGACGGTCACTTCGCCCCGCTCATCATCATTCACTCCGTGCATATGCTGTGTTTTTTTTTTCTTGGCCGTCTGTTTGCGTATATGATGCAACGTCATACACGTGATGAAAAGACGTCACTGGAGCCGTGGTAAACCCCGGCATAAACCACGTCCGTGTTTAAAAAATTGGCAACATTATGATGCGGTATTATTTACTCATCTCCAATGTTTATGAGACATTTATTGTGTCTACAGCAGTTTTTTGCTTCGTAGAATTCGTTAAATTTTATAAGGCTTGCGCTTTCTCGCACTGGAGGATGGCCACATGGTTATACGTTGACGAACACCTTACTCCTCGGACTTTTCCTCGCTCCTTCCAAACATGTTTTGAAGCGCCTCTGCTGCAGCTTCAATTACACCTGGAGCCATCGCTTCAGCGCTGTAGGGGGCAATGATCAGCGCAACTGAAAAAATTAAAATAAAAACAGAAAGTACACTTTGAACAAGCACATAAATACGCAGAATATGTACAGTAGGTATATTTTATATCCAAATACATTTTGAAAAATATACGTCAACCTCAGTATGAAGAAATACATTTACCATGTATTGACTAAACTAACACAAAAAAACGTAAGTTTTTTTTTTTTACAAGGGCAGTACATTGCTATGAAAACCTTTCGAAAGGTGTACATTTTCTCAGTGTTAATGCAGGCACACTAACTAGATGCATTCATGCAGAGTGATGAGAATGTGACGCTCCCGTTCACGTTTTGCGTAAACATGTTTTTATAAATTCGGCAACACTTTGTGCAAGCAAAACAAAAATTGCGAGTCAAATTTTGAAACACTCTTAATACAACGGCTCCATAGTCTTCGCTCCAGTGCCATGATAAGTTGCCGCCAACAATGGTACCATGAACTGGAATAAAATTTAACATTACTTCACCATCAGTGGAAGCCACCGACAGGTTACTTTGGTACGTATTTGTTATGTAGGCTTAATCCTTGCGTGCTAACATGAGCTCAGTTTGAAAGCGTTAAGCCACCATGTTCTATGAGGTGAACGTGGCATGTCCGAATAAGTTGTTAAACGCTTGTTTAATATCTGACCGGTGTATCGGCAATTTGGTACTTAATGCGAGAGCTTTTTCACATCTATATTCGCCGGCATTATAATAAATCCATGGAAGTTTTCTCACACGGCGAGAAAACTTAACGCGAGGTCTCGCTAAAACGCTCACTGAGCACCAGCTTGCTTAAATAAAAGTTGAATAGGAGATCCTTGAAGGCTGGTTAGTTGACTATTAAGGGTGACGTTATATTATTGAAACTAGAGAAGACAGAAGCAACAAGCAAGTCTGACAGGCCTGTGGTGTCTTCGCTGTACTTTCCACCTCTTGTCCTTTGTAGTGCAGCTTTAACATTATCGAAATTATGTTAAGCGAAAAGTTCATTTAGATACAATTGCCTAGACTTACCAAGTGCACTAGCAAGCCCCATAGCAAGATACTTGGCAAGGAAGCTGTCCATGTCTCACAACTGCGAAGATGAAAGATAAAACGAGTTATTCCCGTGAAAACTACACATGTGCGCAAAGTCATGTGCGTTAGACTGCAGTGAGCCAGGAACTTACCACTGTGTCCTGTTCTTTGGTATTACAGATGGATGAAGAAATTGAGCACTAATTAAAATATTTCTGAATTTTCGTCACAGATGCTGACAATTTTATTATATGAGCCATAAGAGAACACATGATAAGCGGTAATAATGCAGACACTTTCAAAATGAGTGGGCTGAAGTCGTTGAATTTTTACAATGAATGTTCAGTGTCCAAGTACTTGGTGAAAAAAATGCTAATCACATAAAAAACTCGTGCACTTCCCCTTACAAGCAATTGTAAACTATGTGTGCGGTAAATATAAAATGTGCAAATTTAGAGGCTAGTCTATAACAGTGTTTTGAGACGGTATCCATTCAGCGACTATAAAGACGTTTATTACATGAAAGGTCCTCCTACATAATGACCTAGTTGTCCATAAAGAACCAGGCCGCTCCCCCGTGATCTCGGAAGCCATTGGCCAGTGGACGAATGCTGTTTATTATACGCTGCCTCTTATAACACGCGCAACAGGCGATGCCGGCAGGGAGTAGTCGTCTGCTGCCATCAAATCGTGCATGATGCGCCGGCATGGTCAGAGAGCTGCAGACATCGCCCGTTACGTGAGCGTAGAGGCAGCGTAAGGCAGCGTACTAAATAATGCAAGGCTCTTACGTGAACGTACCACGGTATGAGTAGGGTGCAGGTCGTAGTGGCAAATTACGGATTGCTTTGTACAACTTGTGTTTTTTTAATGTTCATTGATGTTTAGGTCCACTGGTGTTCTAGTACTTAAACCTTTCAAAAACCGGTCGTTGTGGCCGATAATTTAATCCTCATCTTTCAAGTTAGCAGGGCAAAACTTCGCCGAGAAGCTGGCGCTGTGTGTTCAACACTATAGAGCTGGTTCAGGTCTTCCACGCAATAGGCCGATAAATATGCTTAGGAGTATGGTCTATTGTTACTGCATGTTTTTCTATAATAATTATAAAGCAGTTATATTCCTTGAAAAACGTCATATGAGCACGTCCACAACTAATTACAAAGCTGTAATCTTGCAACAAAACGTTCGGATCTTCAAAAGCTATAAGCATTGTCTTGAGCAATTTTTTTGCTCAAGACATGGGAGACACATTGCGGCAGAGAACGTGTAGAGTATAGTGGGCGGCCGATATGTCAACATGGTTTTTAAAGTTGCAAATGGTGTTGCGACATATGTATGGCTCGGATGACAGTAGTATTGCTTTACCAAAAACGCTGTGTTTACAAGAAAGATTGCGTAATATTTATAGTCAATACGTTTTCAAATAGTGACCCCAAATTACGTTTCACCAGCTATTGCGCAAAAAAGTGCATGCAACTTCTGATATTGCATTTAACCTTTCATACTACCTAAATCGAATTAATTATTCGATACAGTGTTTTCAAATACGTGCTCCTATATTAAATACCATGTCTCGCGGCTTTGATTCAGCCTAACAAGGAATGTCTATATTTTAAAAGGTTAATAAAGCAGCAGAACATTTCCCTGGCTAATGTGACGCCACTCTGCTCGAAAATTTGGCATCTATGAAAATTATTTCTTACCGGTCTGCCTTTCAATTTTGTTAACTACGTTGCCTAAAAGAACGTGTCTATAAACATGTGAGTTAAAAAAAAAAGCTCTGGTTAATTTCTATGTATATTCACAAATGCACTTTTAATACCTTGTTCAAGATAGCTCTTTAAATTACTATGCTAAAATGGATGCTTCGAGTAGATAATTAGTTCTGTTGACTAAAGAATGCGACGGAGGATACTTGTTGCAGGCGGTTGCTCATATTTGTTCTTTCTGTATGTCCAAAATATTTTTTTCGAATCGAAGTATGAAGTATTAGTGTTTACATTTTCAAAATCAAGAACGGAGGCTTTCAGGGAAAGGCAGTCTCACCGTTACCGTACTCGACAAAAGAGGTGCGTGATCTGAAGAGCCGATGCTGTTACTGAAAACGCAGAAAAAGGTGGGTTCTTTTAAATGCCACGGAAAGATTTCCGACTCATCAAGATAACATGTTTTGATGGCAAAGAGGTTTCAGCAGAAAATTAAGTTTTTGAAGTGGACAGGCTAAGCGTGCGTTTCACTTTTTGAGTTGATGATTATGAGAATGCACAAGTTCATTTTATTTCTGCACACGTGTGAGATGAGTGACGGGAAATATCAAACCCGATGAGGATAAAATAGTAGCGTGAAATGAACAGAAAGACAACGTTAGCCTAGTTTTTCCACAGCGTGCCCATTTCTAGAAATTCCACGGTGAAATCTTTATCGCTGTTTTTCGTCAACTGTCGTAAGGCAATCAACCTGCGACGGTAATATAACTGACAGGCATGTGAATGACAACGCATCTAGTGAATATCACCCAATTACTGCGCGACACGACGTGCAACTCTGAAAGTTCACGGACAAATTTCGGGCACAACACCGTATGATATCTCACACGTCTAGCGATGTTGTAGGCCACCAGAACAGAACATGCTGCTGCGAACCTCACTTTGTCCTTCACATTTCAAACGAATGTGCGAAACAATGTTTTTACGGTGCCAAACTAACTGAGATACATTAACAAAAGCGCCACGTGGCATCATGGTCTCGCCAGTGCCGTGTCATGTTGTTATAGAAGATGAAGCTCTATGACAGGTTATACCCAAGCAGGTCACGTAGGCGCCTTCATTGAAGGGTTGGGTGTTCGTGTCCTGAACCAAAACACCTTGGAGCAAATTAAATGACACTTTCTTGTTCAGTATGACACAGATTGAGAAGTCTAGTGTTGTCAATAACATTTTGCTCGCCTAAAACCGTGAAGGTGGCTACGTGAGGCCTAGTATGACGAATACTAGCGTCAGACCCAGGGGGGAGGAGGTTGAGTGGATTCGAAAAGTAGCCACAGCTCATGCTAAAAGTAGCCATGGTAGCCATGCCATTTCATTGCCTAATTTCTTGACAGAACGAACAGAAGTGCTATTATGTGTAAAGTATGTAGTACTGAAGAATGAATGAAAGTATTTTCACTATAGGGAAGGCCATACAAATAAAATGCTTTGCCATATTGATTGGTTTTCAAGGCACAATCTATTCGCACACGAAAAAATAAATTGTGATATATTCAGTGCAGAATACATGTTGTTTCTGTAGAATACATATATAAATATAACCAGACAGATAGTAATTTTAGAGAATTCCAGCAAAAATGCCCGTGCGAACGCTAAACGTTGATGCAGTTTTTTTTTTCTTCTTGGAGTCGCAGATCAAACTTGATTGGCCGAGCTTACACAGTACAAGTTTAGCTTGCTATAGTGTAATTCGAGTGAAATGAACGGTGAAACATAGCTCTGTCACACATCTCTGTCTTTGTAAACTTCACAAAAGAACGCACACTGCGCAATAGATTTAGAAAATGGCGTGCTATAGATACTCGTTTTCTATGATGTATGGAACTTCACCACTTCATATTTACATATGAACCATGCCTTGCGACAAACGCAGGCATTGTGCTTTTGTAGTGTCACTGTGTAGTGTCACTGTCAATTGTGGTCACTGTCGGTTGCCAGAAACGCTCGAACATATATTTTGCGACTGTCCAGCATATGCAAACGAGCGTCAGCAACTGATATATTCGATTGGCCGGTATATTAGTCGACCATTAACCGATGAGGTTGTGTTATGTCTTTGGCCTGACGCCAGCAGCACACATGTGGTTATACGAGCCGTCATTGCTTTCTTAAAAGCCACTGGACTGGATGCACGTCTGTAGAGTTACCCAGCCTAATAAGCACATATCATCTCTTTACCTTAACATCGTCATTCATCACTTTTTCACTACCCAGTCACCCTTCCCCAGTGTAGAGTAGCAGGCCAGAGCAGTCTATAGCTCAAGCCGACCTCTCTACCTTTCTGTAAAGAAATTCTCTCTCTTGTAGTGTCGGAGTGACCGAACTTTCGACTAGTTTTATTACATTTTGCGTAGCTGTTTTCTCTCGTACGTTGTCTTAGAAGAATACTCGCAGTGACGCGTGGGCCTTTTATAATCTGTGGCTGGCTTGAAACTACGAAGTCATTATGATAATCCCATGTTATCACGCCAGATGGCAATGTACGCTTGTGCCACGCAAAATTACTGCGCCTTTCGTCTCGTATTGGGAAGAGTGTTTACACGACGCGCGTGTGTGAAAATGAAGAGTTATTTGCACACATATTCAAGTAAATGAAGTTATTTTAATTGTATTTCGAAGAAATAAAAGTGGTTGTGCAGTAAAACACCTACATGCCACGCTAATGGCGTGAGTTTGTTCCTCACTGGGGCCTGAAATTTTTGTTAGTCGTCTTTTTCTATTGTTCAGTCGTGGTCAGAAAGGTGGTTTTTCGCTCGTAACCAACGACGCCAACAATACCAACACCGACGCCAGGATTTAGGCTAAACGAGCTCTTTAACACTATCACGTTCATATGTTCAAATCAACCGGAGTTTCGTTTACTGAGAAACGGAGGTGCTGTACAGAAGTATGGAAGGAATCTCATCAGAGCCCTTTGTTCTAGTGAAGTAGCATTTTTCAAAAGAGATTTTCCTTTCCTGTGCATATCAGTCTTTCATGCTGAAAAAATTTCGAACCCACTGCCAACACATAATGAAACCAGTCGGCAATGCGTGTATTCACTGTAGGATTATGGCATTCGGATGCCTTTACTAAAATTTAGAGCGTTATACTGTAGTCTGAAGAATATTGAATAGCCTTGCAATGACATTTAAAGTCGTTATAGAAAGATGTAAGTATTGAACCATGCTGTCTTATCGATTCCTTGTTGCAAAAAGTATCTGTATAGTTTAGAGCAGCAGTGGAGGTGTAGCTTAAAACGCACTCCTTCTTCTTTTATTTCACCACCTGCATGCTGGTCGTTACTTAAGGGTGAATGGCAACAGGGTGGTGTACCAACGAAGAGTTATGCCGGTGTACGTCCTGGCCTCAGCATATCCGCTTCTTTTTGTTTTGTTCGTTTTGCTGCTATTTCTAATGGAGATGTGTGAACACTTTGTGGAAGCTGTAATACCTACACAATGTGGCGTGCAACTTGTGAGATCTTCCACCATTGCTCCAACCAGCCAAGTAACAGTGTGAAGAAAAGCGAGAAGGTTTTGGTCACTTAAGACAAAGTTCGGTTCCACACTACATCAAAAGTATTTGGCACGCATATTCACAGGACCCTTAACTACAGATTGTAGTCATTTTCTGATTGTCTGCTAAAGGGTTAAAAGGCTCCATTAAAACTTGAAAACTGCAGTGAGATGAATTGACCGTGAACATGGCAAATATTCCAAGACGCCATTGCCTTTTTCGAAATATTATTATATTCCCCATTACCTTTTTTTATTATGATGATATGTAAGGATATTTTGGCGCACAAGTAAGGCGTCGGCCACTCCTTAGCCTTTCAGTAAATACTGCACATAGTGGAGGAAGACGAAGTGATTCGTTTACGGAACACAGCTTGCTCGTCTCTGTGCTTTTCTGGATTTTTCGCCGCAGTTGTGGGGTCTATCGCCCCATATATTGTGGTGATGGATGTTCAACCTCACGGGGCACCGTCCGAGTCCGGTTCGACCGTTGGGACTGCTTTGAGGAAGCGAGGAAACGCGTCTAGTGAGAGTGAGGACACTGAGCTATACTCCGCATCAAGCGACGAGTCCTCGGACGACGGCTTCCAACCCGTCCTGTACCGCAAGGCTAAACGACGGATCGTCATTGCATCTTCGGCATCAAGCACGACTACCGTGAAAACTGCCCCTCAGTGATGACCTCACTCTATCCTGTTTGTGCCACTGAAGGCTACCGACAGTCTACGCGGGCTGAACAGGCAAGCGCTCTCTGTGTATCTCGAGAATATTACGCCAAATCAGATCAAAGAAATACGTCTAAACGCAAGAATGAACATCTTGGCAATCGATGTGCTGAACCCACGTTCGCTAAACGCGCTTCAGAAAGTAACGCAACTGGGTAACATCAATGTCAAATCTATAATACCAGCTGAGAGCACCACTTCAACAGAAGTCATTTATGACATCGCCACTGAAATTCCAGACTCGGATCTTTCAGTGCTAATAAAACCGGAAAATGCACATAACGTCATTGTGAATGTCAGCCGCCTTGGTAACACACATTGTGTGAGAATTACGTTCAAAGGGGACTGTCTCCCCTCCCATGTGAAGGTTGGCCACTTTCGTCACCAGGTCCGACCATTTATTCCAAAACCTATGCGATGTCATAAGTGCCAGAAGATCGGCCATGTGCAGGGAGCGTGCAGGAACTCCGAAGTGTGCCCCCGATGCTCAGAACCACATACCTAGGACGAATGCAGCGACCCCATACTAAAGTGCCCTAATTGTCAAGGTGCCCACAGTGCATCTTCCGAAGACTGTCCACGCATAAAGAACGAGTTTACTATTCTTAGACAAATGGTGCGAGACAGCTCTACCCACAAAGAGGCCGCGGAAAAAGTCCGGCGAAGACGACGACGTCACCGTCGAAGATCTTCGCGAAGAACGCAGTCAACTACAAGAAGCAAGCCAACGCATCTGGGAACGTCGCCCACTGCAGGGTACACCGCGGCGAACGCAGACGATGGAAGACAGAAAACAAATAGATCTCTCTCTACGGAAGATTGGCCGCCACTTACGCGCACGCAATTTGTGGAAGAACCACATCAGAAGCCGCATTCATCAGAGCAAGCTGCGACAACAGAGGAGCAGCGGAACTTGCATAAGCAAATGATTGCTGTTCTACGACCCATATTTATAGCCATTCGCACGGTGTTAAATAACATGCAGACAACGTCAGCCAAAAGTGCACTTCAAGTACTGGACGCTCTGAGTCCAGTACTGGCGGCTCTTGAGTATATAATGGCCCACCAGCCACTGTCTTTCAGGTAAGAGGTCCAAAAAGCAACAA